TATATGTGAATTTTTTGTTCAAATAGACTCGATGACATGTAGAGGATTTATTTTCCAAACAAATTCATTTACCGTTATATGTCATAATAAAAAAAAGTATAAACTCTCTTGGGCCCTTTCCCTGTATCTTCTCTTTTACCACTCGTACTGATCACTTTACCGTGAGATGCACCCCATGCCCCTCCTCCTTACGAAAGAGGGCAACTGGTGAAAATACGATCTGATGAGCCACATTTCGGTGGAAGCAACATCACCTCTCTTTTCTTGTTCGCCTCAAATGGCGATAAAAGGGGCCATCTGTCGACCGCCTCCAACGGGCGGCGGGGAGTTGGTTATCGGAGAGACAAAAACCGGCGCGTTAATGATGGCACCGTCGCCGTAGGTTGCGGAGTAGGTGGTGAGCCCCGTGGTGTGGGGCGAAGTCAGGCCGACGGCCTCAGAGCCCGAGACCAACGGATCGGGGCTCCCTGCGAGGACAACCGCGCCAGGGGAGTCGTAGCCCAGGAGGGTGAGCCCCCCCCCCCCCTCCTCCTGCCCCAAGCGTCGAGGGCCGTTGCAACGGCAGGAAGTTAAACGGCGTCGTGCTCGGGTTCACTAACGAGGACGACAGGTAGACCCGCTGGCCGCCCTCGAGGAGGACGCAGCAGTATTCCGGAGGAGGGACCACAAGGCCCTGGAGGGGCTGGTAGCCCGGCAAGGGGGAAGGGCCCACGCTCACGGGGGTCGTGGAGCCTCGGGGCTGGCTCGAGTAGGGCGGCGGCGCCCGGACCTCCGCGCCACCTCCTCCAGACGCCCCCAGCTCGTGGTTGCCGAGGTAGTGCGTGGGGGGGGTCGCGTGGCTCTCCAAGGGAAAGCTGAGAAAAAGAGCGGAGTTCGGGGTCGCTTCCAGCGGGGCTACCCCGCGCGAATCCCCTCCGCCTCCCCGTCGTGGGGGAAAGATCATCCCGCTGCTGGGCAGGTTGGGGTAGACGCCCGCACTCTCCCGCCGGCGGTGTCGCCGCTCGCGCTTAACACCTTCGCTGTCCTCGTACTTTGCCAACAGCGCGGCGGAGCCCGGGAAGTAGGTGTTGTTGCCGTGGAGCTTGTTGAGAGCGTTCTTGGCATCCTCGACGCTTTCGTACTCAGCGTAGACTACCCACACAGGGCTGCCGTAGTGGTCTTCGCGCATGGCGAAGTAGGTCAGGTTGCCAAACGTGTTCAGAAAGGTCTCAACCTCCGTCTGCGAGAGCCGCAGTGGGATGTTTCGAATATAAAGAGCATTGCTTACCTCCTTCGCAACCTTGCCATCATGCTTGGAAGGGAATATGCACAGGTTAAAACTTTGCCCGAACAGGGTGACGTGAGTTTTGTTGAGCTCGCGGAAGGCCAACTCACCCTCCTCCTCGGAGTCGAAAAGAACAAATCCGAAGCCCTTGCTCTTACCAGTGGCTGCGTCGAGCATCACTTTGGCACTTTTGGGATTGTACGATTTAAATAGATTTTCAAGCTCAGCATCGGTAACGGTGCGTGGAAGCTTAGCTACAAACAGATTTTGAAGACTTGTCATGGGGCTCTGTGTCTTTGGTTTCAGTTTCGCCTAGTAGTATAATATGTAAAAATAATCAAAACGTTTTCCTATATTTAAAAGCTTATGTAGTTAGAAAGTAATAGGCAATAAAAAGGATAGGGGGGCTCTTTAAATAAAAAGCTTTTGATGAAATTCTTAAAAATAAAAATGGAAGGAAGAATTCAGGCGTGAAATTTAAGGAAAATGGTTATGATTTTGAATTTGTTTGTAAAGTGAAAAATTCATGAATATTCAATTAAAAGTACTAGTCATTATGAGAGATCGAAGCTGAAACTCAGTAGTAAAAACCAAGGTTTTGGACATACTCGACCAATTAAAAAAATGTAAAAGGTACTTAACCATGAAGATTCACTTTTCTATTACTGTGTTAAGCACATTTTACTACTCGTTTGAGTTTATTAGAAGAAAACAATATATAAAAAACAGTAAAGTAAACACTCCCCTTCATTTTCTCCTTTCGCTCCTACTTGGATCCATTACTTCAAAAAGCGATGTATTAAACTATCTTATTCCATTAAAATGTCATCAAAGAGTTCATGTATACCTCCGCAAAGGATGTTCATTAATTTAACATATTTCTTTCTCCTAATCGGATTAGGCTATTTGGGGAGAAGGATATTGATTGACATCGGGAATGCCCCTTTGTAACAGGATTAGCTTGATCCACTTAAGCGCACCAGATCAAAATCCTCAAATATTCTAATGGATAAAATGATCATTTGAGAATACTTTGTTGTACTAAGTATCTGTTGAAAAAAAAAGAAAAAAAAGCAAAGAAAAGCGCAGATTCTTCATTTTGTAAGCAACACAAAACATACACACTTGCGTACGACAATTCCTAATGGAATTTCATTTTATTACCCTCAGACTCATTGTTCGATCATAAATGAATGAAAATATATTATTCTAGCATATATATATATATATATATATATAGTAAGG